TGAAAGTATGAAGGAATGAGAGGATGCATGAATACTTCTGCCAGGAGAATTTGAGTGGATATGTACTTCATAGATTATGATCTTTCAGACACGCCAAAAAAGAGAGACATACATAAAGTGCATTCCTTGTTTTTTAGATAGGGAAATTGATGTGGTTCTGTATATGCTGCGAAGGCAGAAGACCTAACATTCCACACTAAATGGACAGGTTTTGTTAAAAAGTTCACCTACTTGATTTGAAAATGTTCAGCTCCAGTGAAGTGGTATTATAATTATTGTATTTTACTTATTAACAGAAAGTGACTTAGTAATTAATTATAATAACTATAACATCACTGTACTCACATCCATATGTATCAGCTTTCAGCCTGAGGTGAATATTTATGTTGCATTTTTGAAATAGATATTCCTGTGAAAATGTTGATAAGACCTGTTAAAGCAACTAGAAAAGCACCTTTGTGATGGCTATTAATATGTCTGTGCATCACTGCTTATCACTGCCTGTGCTACACAATATAGAAGTTATTAGAAAGCTCACAAAAGCTTGTACACTTGCACTGAAAAAAAGAACGCAGACACAGACATTTAAATTATAGCATAGAAAAGGCAGCTATCAAAGGCCTAGTAAAACAACCCTCTGTTCATAGAGGCACAAAATCTCATACAAAAGTGATGCTTCTAATTTTAGCAGGCATGTTGTGTCTTCATTTTACTTCTTGTCTGCATGCAAAATCACACCAATTAGAGCAAAGTTGAACACCATGTTCCTGGCATTCTGCCATGTAATATTTGAAGGGAATAAATTGCCAGCCAGTAGCAGGAAAAAAAAAAGGGGAGAAAAATGTAAAAATTATTTGCTGAAGCCTTAGGCATTTAAAATGAAGCAAGCCAGCAACTAAAGGACAACCTTAAGTACCTCTGTACTCTCCTTTATTTGAGCAATTATTTTAGAAATACACTGTTTGACCTTATTTTGATTAATTGTAATTCAAAAAAAGATGTTCTGAAATATCTTAATGTCATCACACTGCCCCTTGTGATTCCCACAGCTTTCTGATTCTAACATAAAATGGAGAATTACATTAAATTAACTTTTCAAGTTTGGGTATTTTCTAAAGCCTAGCTGGTGAAACTGGTACAGTTCTGTGAAGAATTTTGATTTCTCAGGGTGTTGGTAGTCGGATAAAGCAGTGAGACAGGTATTGTACTAGAGGTGATGGATTTGCTCCCATTTTGTAAATACTGCCCTCATAGCACTTCACTGTGATATGAAAAGGCAATGCTATCAAAATAATCAGCTAGTTGAAAATGAGTAAGAAGTGGAGAAAAATGTCCAAGCTCTACAGAAGTTACAGGGCTCTTGGGCTAGATCAGTAAAACTGCCCCGTTCTGAGGCTTACACCCATAAAATGTGGATCACCTCTGCTTTATACTTCTAGTGTCAATTAGACTTCTGCCTCTTCTTAGTTTCAGAAGAATAATCACCACCATGCTGTCTGAAAACTTAACCTTATATACCATAGAGCAATGTTCAGGTAACTGCATTTAGCTGGAATAACAGGCTAAATGGGGGCTTCATACCAGACATTGATGATGGCAGGTGAAAAATATGCTTCAGATGCCTTTGGTTTACAGAAATTCTGTAAAATGTTTAGGACTGTCCATTTTTTTTTTTGTTTATATGGAAGAGGCTAAATGATCTATACAGGCACTGAGCAATACACTTACCAAGGTGAAAGTCACTTTTCAAAAGATAACTTTACTCATTGTCCCCCTTACTTTAGGAGAGAATAGATTTGAGAGACTAAAGCTTGCCTTGACTAAAACAAGAATAAAGTCAGGACTGTACTGGCTACTTGTACAGAACAACATTCAGCAGCTTTATTTATGAGGATGAATACTATGTAACCTATTCAGTAATGCAAATACATCAGGTTAATATTAATTATGCAATTTGTCAATGAAATAAATTGCAGTCCTAGAAACTTAAACATTTCACTTTCCTTATAGAAAAACTGTGCTCCTGAAAGATAATTTTCAGGAGCTTCATGTTATTTCTAGACACAAAACCACAAAGAAAACAAGCACAGCACAACAATGCTTTTCTGAGTAGAGTTAGAATTCAGATCTCCAAGACTATGTTTTTATTATCTCTTGAAATTAGAGGTATATTAACTGAAAAACAAATGAAAAACTGGTTCTTGATTCATTGCATTGTTCAAAATCAACATTTGTTAGCAAATGAACACATATGTGTGTGCATGCATGCACACTCACATACACATATATATGCCTATACAAAAAAATACTATATATTCATCTGTATAATGCTACTGTGATCACTTAGGAACTTCTGAAAATGAGATTCCACCTTGAGATTTGTATCTGTAGATTAAGAGAATTGAATTTCCAGTATCACAGAAACAGATGTGCCCTTTAGGATGCCTCCCTAAAGGCTGAATCCTAAGTTTTCATGCTATGTGTTAGGAAATATTACAGTGCTAAAAAAAGCTTTTTGAAAAATAAATTGTGAGATACAATTTTGCACTAGAGTGCAAAAATATAAAGGAATAAGTCTTTGTTAATATTTTCATTGTTGGTAGTTATGTGGCTATTAAACCAAGATTCTATATCCACAGCTGATGATCCTACCATGTATCTAACTCTTATCTTGGGTGGGAGGGAAGAGGGTCATAACTGAAGTGTCTCAGCAGACTCGGAACATTTATTTTTTAAGGAATAACAATGCCAGGAATAATAATCAATGTATTCCAGGCTTAGCATCAGCCTGAATTTGAAGTCAGTAATCAGGTAACATGAAGAGCAAAATGAAACATCAACTAAGATACTATAAAGGATACCAGAATACCCTCTCTTACCTTGACATTATTCCCATGTAGTGGATAAAAATAGAAACAATCAAATTGCCTTTTTGACAAATGAAAGTATATAAAACTCTATAGAGAATATAAGCATCTAGCTAAAACCAATTACCTCCATTCTATCTCTCTAAGGACATTTTGAAGAGCATGTAGTATGAATAGAATCACTCTGTTACTATTAAGTTATTAGTAACATTATTAGTATTAACACAAAACTGTTATTTGGTCTATATTTTGAATGTTTTTTAATTAAAAAAAAAATAAATTACACGATGAAAGCTTGTCCAAAGCATGTTGCAGAAGGAAATCATGCATACTGTTATTTTGTCTGATTTCACCATAGTTCTAATGAAGAATTTTACAAATCATACATATGAAAAAGCTGCTACCCACTGTTGATATAAATATGTTTTCACAGACTGGTGTATACATATAAGTAGACAGCGATGTTATTGTTATATATATTGCCATACACCTAGCATGTGAAGATTTTGCTCGTTCTCTGTCTACTCAGAAGAATACTTTCTAGCCACATTTTATAAACTTCTAGTGAAAATACAGCTTCTTGTCCAGAAACACAACGGCAGCCACATAAGTGTTGTGAAACAGTATCTAAGTTTTCATCCAGAAGTGTAAAAGATAGAGAGATGGAGAAAAATGAAAATAAAGATAAAAGGACAAGAGAATAAGACATATTTTTTCCTCTAATCACTACAACCCACATTCAAGAACTTATTTCTTCACTTAGTTTTGCACTAGAGGTTTTAAAAAATCAAAATTACTTTTATGTAAAAAAGAATAACAGTGCTACAGTACCTTAACAGTACCTTACATAGCAAAATAAACATGCTGTGCTTATTTTCAGGGAGGCACCTGCCAGACTTTTATCCTTTATTTCACGAGTTCGGTGTCACATACATAGCATGTACTTGGACTAAATGTACCTAACACTGTGGCTCATCACACTCTCCACAAAGGGCTGTCTTAGCAGAGACCTTTAACTGACAGCTATCCAAAAAGATCTAATAGCTATGCTCAGGCATTTATGCCTTAATGTCTTCTTCTAATCTGCACACCGTCGTGGAAGTGCAGGGTGTAATATGCATACTGCTTGTTGATGCAGTGTTGGTGCTGCTCTGAATGCAGGATATACAGCATCTTCTCAGAGATCTCCTTCCTGCTACCATGGCACAGGGGAGTGCTGATCTCCACTCAGAGTGACTAAACACACAGGTGTGATTTTACATACAGCCTGTTAAATCAGTATGTCAATATTAAGACATCTCAAAGGTTTGTGGCAGCACAAAGATTTGGTGAAGAGCATGGAGACTTTGAACTTGCAAGCCAGAAGACAGAATATCCCATTCAGAAACCATTTGTACCTCTCTGCTGTCTGGAGTCCACCAATGTCCTAAACATTTTGTCTCTTGAGGCTTGTGGTTCCACTGTATCTTTGCTCACCATCGTACCTGTGGAAAATCTGGAGGAATCTCTGAAGGAGGTTTCCTCTTCTCTACCTTCTTTAGTATTGCTTGTCAACATGCTTCCTGACATGTTTTTATTCTGTGCCAAGAACATTCCCCAGATAATGCTCAGGCTTGGTGTAAGGGATAGCAGAAGCAAGGGAGACACTCAACAGGCATTATTTCAGGAGGGAGGATAGTTTAGCTGAATAAACATGAGAGGTGCCCTGCTCATTCCTTTTAAGGGCAGAAAACAGCTTCACCTATCCCCATTTGTTTATGAGTATAGACACAGTCACGAGGTCTGACATTTTGACTGCTGTTCCACGCCTTTTAAGACAACCTCACTGTATAAATCAATAAGTTACCCTTGATTATAAAGTTTCAATAAATCAAACATTAAATGCAAGTAAGTATCAGAAAAGGATCAAATGTAGTGGTAGAACAGAAAGGGAATTATGTTGCGTTTATAAGAAGAAGAGTCAAATTCTGGAATGACTAGTAGGCCAAGCAGGATCTGGAAAAACAGACTGAGATGAACTGTTAAAGATATAGATATGGAAAATAGGGGGATTAGTGAGAATCTCCCACAGTAAAAGAACAGAGCAAACGATCACAGTACAACTTGGGGCTACTTGGCATCTACAAAAGTCCAGTGTTAAATCAACCACTGAGGCAAATTGTGGTTTCTGTGCTTTAGCTTTGTCACATATAACACAGACCAGAAGAAAAATAATTTCTGTATTTCATTAGAGTTCCATTACAGACTCCTTCAGGGAGCAGCACTGAGCTCAATCAACATTCTCCCAACTTTGAAAGGAGACTTCTGCTCCTATTACTGGTATTTCCTAAAGTAGTTTCTCCTGGAGAAGGTACTCTCAGACACCTCACAACATTAATAAAAGAGCAAGTACTTAAGAAGGTTGTAAAATAAGGAAATAACCACCGCAATCCTCACCAAGAATCCAACTTAAAATACCTCTGTAATTGATGATTTCTGTTCCAAGCACCGGGGTCATCTCCAGAACTGTGATGAAGGCCTTGTCCATAGATGTCAATGGGAATGGAGACATGCGGTGTCTTCTTGCTACCTTGGTAATGTCAACAGCACTGTGACCTGCAACAAGAGAGCACCAAATTTATGTGTGCTACAATGTGTAGATGTACACAGCGACGTTCATTTAAACCACCTTACTGAAATGAATCTGGCACTTTGAAGTAAATTCAATTAGTTATCGCTATTGAGCATTTATGCCAGACACTGGGAATGCACTGTATTCAACCAGAATCAAAAGAGATTTAAAACAAAATGCAATTTACAGTTGAAAAAGTTCACAAAAGTGTATATCCTTACTCATCATGAAAAACATACCAGAAGTCTTGATGAGCATAAAGAGATCAGTTAATCAGAAACAGAAACCCTTCAAGATGATGCAGTACTTTACACTGAGGATGATAATCTGAGGCTCAGTTCTATGAACTATGAACTCAGGACGATTCACTGCTCATTCTGTTCTCCAGAAACACATCTCAATATGCTACATGCAGTGCACAGGTACAAGATACAAACGGACACTGTCCTAGCGAGTTAGCAACCCAAAAGTGAGATGGGAGTCAAAAGGAGGACAGAGGGAAGCTCAATGAACTCACCAGACAGTCAGGACAGCAGACAGTGTTTCCAGATAGCAGGCACCCTACCCACTGTCAGATTTTGTAGTCACCACAGCAAAGTAAAGTTTAAATGTATAATTTGAGTGAAGTAGTAGGATAGATTCATATTCATGGAAGCTTACTTTACCCAAGTCTGAGGGACAGGTTGGGGGAAAATACAACAAAATTTGTTTGAAAATGAAGCCCGCAGCATGTTTCATTTCTTGATACTTACTGAGAGAGTAAACAAGGGGATAACAAGCTTTGAAGGATTTTGAAAGTGAAGATAAGCAACTGAAGAGAGGGAACTATTGCAGGAATACATAAACAAGAGTAACAGATACAAACCAAAAGATTAAGAAAATGATACATGTAGAAATATCTTGAATGGATTGCCTAGAACAAGAAGGTATTTATGAGAGCCAAAGTGGGTGATGTTCTAATGATATTCCTAAAGCAACACACATTATAATAAGATAGCATTAACAAATAATAGAAACTAGTTTTTATTGACATGCTTTTGCTTTGCAATAGCTACATAAATATCCCATTTGCTGCTGCACATGGATCCACATTCTGGAAAGAAATAGGTTATTGCTCGAAGTGTAGTCTTCTAATAAAAAATAACCACAAAAATAGTAAAACAATAATGCAATCTAAGTTTTTCCTTCAGAAGAGGTCGGTTAATCAATCTGCACGTACAAAACTCCTTTCAGCCCTGACACATGCTTGTCTCTCTAAGTATGTGGGAGATTGTTCATTAATTTATTTTTGCTGTTAACATAGTAACTATCTTTAAGAGGAAGAAGTACAGACAAATAAAACTTCCCACCTAATTTCAGTCCCAAGGAACATTCAAGACATTATTTGAACAATCTCTTTGTATGTATTTAGAAGATAACATAATGATAAGAGCAGGCACTGCAAATTTGTCAAGCATGAATAATTTCTAACTGACTTAGAAATGTCAAAATGAAATGATACTCCATCCCTGGAGGTGTTCAAGGCCAGGCTGGATGAGGCTTTGAGGAACCTCGTCTAGTGGAGGGTGTCCCTGCCCATGGCAGGGGGTTGGACCTAGATGATCTTTAAGGTCCTTTCCAACCCAACCATTCTATGATTCTATGACTTAATTCCTTTCCTTAGCATAGAAGTTGGCATATTAAGGAAGAGAGAAGCAGCTGATAAGATGTATTTTAACTACATTAAGACTTTTCACACTCCAAACCATGACTTTCTCATAAGCAAACTAGGGAGAAATGACCCAAATTAAATGACTGCAAGATAAAAGTGTAACTAGTGGAAAAACTGCATTCCTGTATTTAACATCAGGGATGTTCCTAGCAAGTTTACATTTTCCATTATTGTGCCTGTATTTTGTTAGCAACATCATGGAAAGTAAAGCATTTATGAGACACAGTCAAACTTCCCATACCTTTGCTGCACAGAGAAAGAAACCCTGCTTAGAAGCACCATAATTCCTGCAGGTCCAGCAGATTCCACACAATGCACATTGAAAACTTTTTCCTGATTGTATAAATTAAGAAACTATTTTCTTAAAAATAAAAGTTGGAAAAAATGAAGGATGATGCTAGGGAAAAAGTATGTCACAGCAATGAAAGCTGGGGAAAGTGTGTAGCAGCAAACAACCCTCATGCTACGGCTTTAATGTTTATGTTTTACTGCTACCTAAAACTCATTGTTAGCTACTTCAGAAACTAACATTTCACCTCTTAAACTCTTAAAACATGAAAGAATTTAGAGGCTTTCAGTGTTTTGAGTGGTGCCCAGAGTACCACCTTCAGATTCAGAAGTCATCTGTCTGATACATGTCATTTGCTTAAGACAAAGGTTCTGTTAAAATGTACTGAGAAATGCATTCCTCAACAGAGTTTTTTTTGAAAAATAGATAAAATCCCCTAATCTCTGACAACTTTGTTCGGACCCGAAAAGTAACACCCATTATGTCTGCAAGAGAAGCCAAGAAAATACATACTCAAAACCAGAGACCCTTCAGGTTTAACACTAGCATGCATAAATAACCTTAATGAAGAAAGCAAGAAAGACACATATATAACTACTAACACTTCTCTCTCCCTATTTCTTCCTAGAAACAAATGCTTACTCTTCTTTTAGAGGTGTCATACATTTAAATAGATCCAGAGACGAAGAAAGAATTATTTTTTAAGGCCTAAAATTACTAAGTGGCACTTTTTATCTACAAGTAAATTACATCAAACAGTTCCTCAGACCTTCCCAAGTTACCTTTCACTGATGTCAAATGTCAGATGGCTCTAAAAATAACTACTTACATTAAGCAGTGTTTTACAAAATAATTTTCTAGCTTGGAAGCAGCTAAGTCAGTCGGTTTCATAAGTTAGAAAATTCCTGGCAGCCTTCTCTCTTATCACCAAAGCAACTTCCTAATCCTTTTGTTATATGCATACACATATGGTGGATCACATTTTAGACTAGGAAAGATTTCCATAAAACAAAGGAAAGGAATTGTGCAAGTTAAAGAACAGGTCATTTGGATAAAATCTGAATTCTTAACCTTTGCGTCACCACAAACAACACAGACCTCCATATCATTAGAAGAACAATTTGGAAGAAAATTTAAAAGGCAACTATCTATCAATACATGAACCCTACAAGCAATTTACACTTTTTTTTCCTCTTTGGACTGAAGTTCATTGTCTTAAGTTATTAAATTTCTTCTGCAAACCCACTTATGTCTGTCCTGGTTTCAGCTAAGATAGAGTTAACTTTCTCGATAGTAGCTAGTGAGAGGTTATATTTTGGATTTGTGCTGAGAAGGTGGCTGATAACATACTGATGTTTACAGTTCCTGTCAGGACAGTCAAGGACTTCTCAGCTTCTCTGCTGGGCCAGTATCTGCAGGATCAGGATAAGCTGGGAGGGAGCACAGCCCCAGTTACTGGCCTAGGATTCGATCTTTGGTTTAGGATTGAGACCCAAACCGGTCAGCTGTCTCTTCCATATCATGCACATCATGCCCAGTATATAGATGAGGATCTCTCTGGAAGTATGCTCTCTCTTGTTCCGGATCATCTTGCTTCAGGTGGTCCCTCTCCCAGGGTTGTCTCCCTTCCTCAGTCAGCTCTTGGTCTTAGACACTTGGTCTCTTATCTCCATTCCAGGAGTGCGGTTTCGGGACTCTCCCTGCTCCGGGATCATTAGCCGGGAATGGACTGAGCCTTGGTCATCAGGTGGTGAGCAGTATCACTGTGTATCACTCATTTGTATATTTGTATATAGCACTATTATTATAATCAATAATATTATAAGTATTATTTTCAATATTATTGTACTTTAGGTATTAATTTGTTCATATTTCAACCCACGAGTTTCTTATCCCTTTACCCCCTTACTTTGCCCCCACTTCCCTGGGAGGGGGAGGGTGAGCGAGTGGTTGTTATATTTTGGCTACCAGCCAGGGTCAAAACCATGACAATGTCCCAACCATATCCTTCTCTTCTTATCTATCATTTGCTGTCTTCTGAGCAGTCTTAGTTTCTCAATAGAGCTATGAAGTTTCAATACTTACTTGCTCTGAGGATGTTCTCCTTGCTGCTGCACCTAGACTGGACCTGCAGAGAGAGCACAGAGTCTATGAGCTACAGAAGTTAACAAGAATGCAAAATACAGAGATATAATGGGCAAGCTCCTGGGATCTAAGACAGAGGCTATACATATTTTCAGCAACATTCTTATATACTCTACATGAGATAAGTATATTTAAGCAGAAGGGTAGTAGCTGATGGTCAGAATCTGATACAAGCAATTTGATTCCCTCCCCCACCCCCAAGAAACAAGATGGCCTAAGGACACTAATAGAGTAAAATCAAAGAACACAGTGGTTAAAATTACATGTTAAGCTCCAGTTTTAAACAGAAAATCCACATTTTCTTACACAATTGTAATTACAGTAACTCTGAATCTAGGTCCTTTTTATGATTAGACAAAATACTAACATAACTATATTATGATTTTAAAATTCTACTGTTGATATTTTCAGGTATTGTAGAAAGAGTTTAAAATACTCAATTTAGATTGTGTTGATTCTGAAGATATTTAAGAAGACTTCTTCGCAATTGTATAAGCAACTCACAATTGTATAAACAGCTCCTGGCTGGAACCAGATAAATTTACCCAGTTGTTTCTGCTTGGTTAAAAGAAATGCTATGTTCAGTATGAATTTTACGGTGCAATTCTACTTTAAAAAGTAACTGTGTGAGAATGACAACTGGTTTCTCAACAAAAACTCTTCCTAGATGCTTAGTTGCCACTGTGCTATTCCAGATACATTTGTCTGGCTCCAGGGAAACTGGAGGATTCACACTGGTCTAGTATTCTACTAACACTGGATATTTAGAGTTCCATCTGTTTACCATGTAGATTTATAAGAATAATTTTTTTTTTGAGGCGTTTCAGTCCTGTAAGCACAACACAGTTTAAACTTTATCAATACTGAAGCATCAGCTCTTGTTAATTCTTCTAAGGTTTGGAAAGATAGCACATTGTATAATAACACTGAAATTGTAAAGTTTTTAGATTAACTAATGTGAACAGTAGTCTGTCTTCTAGTAGGTCAGCTGGCTGAACTAGTCACACTTGAATAAAAAGGATTTTGTGTGGACAAAAACCCAAGCTAAAGTAAACTTCACAAGTAGACAAACCTCTGAGAGAGAGTATGAATAGAATTCTCTTTTTTACTTAATTGACAAATGTATTGCTAAATTTCAGCGAGACGACTAATAAAGTGAAACTGTGCACATGTGGTGAAAGAAGTGGAATAGCACAGGTGACACTGAAGGTGTAACTTCCCTGCAGAACACTTGTCTCTGCTGAAAAAGTGAAGGAGTGAATCCAGATTATCTTTCAGACTACAGTTTCAATTTGCAGTCACAAAAAAATTGCTGAGAAAGTGAATATGTGTGACCTAACAATTGATGAAGAATGGTACACACTCAGCCCCCAAAAAGCTGTCTTCAGAAAGGAACAACCATTTAAGGCTGAAACCAACTGTGCTGCAACTTCTAAACCTCTTTCTTCTGTTCCACAGCAGCTTGCCCCAAATGTATACTCACATAAAAAAATTGGATTCTACAGCGCAACACAGTCTACTTATTGTAATGGAATAACTTATGGAAAGTAATGTTGCAACTTAGAGTGGTTTATGGTGTCCTTCCCTGAAAAAAAATGTTGTTTAAAAAAAAAACAACAGAAAAACCCCAAACCCTCCCTCCTTCCCACCAAAAATACCATACAAGAAAACTGAAAGCAAAATGTTAATGATGCCCAAATTTGGCCCAGAGTTGTTTTATCAGATTCAAAGGCATGACATGAACTCTTTTTGGAAGTAGTAAATATTTACCTACAATTTACCAAAGGACAATTCTGGACCAAAAAGATGGTATAATGGTAGGAAAGAAAGCACAAAAGAGAGGCACAGAGAGAGAGAGAGAGAGAGAGCGAGAGAGAAAGAAGCAGGATGGATGAGGCAAGGCAGAAGATGGTGTGTGCAAAAGGAGACATGGGCCTATGTGTGTAAGACTACTGTTTAAAATGGAAGAGGCTCTCTTATTTCTCACTGAAAACCATATGAAAAGAGAAAACGAGGAATGGGCCTGCTGCAAAATAACCAAGCCATTCAGCAAACTGTGGAATGAAACTCAGTGAGATAACATAGTCCTAAAGAAAAAGGCAAAAAAACCAAAAATACAGAACAGAAACATTTGAAACAATCTACTAAAACAAACTAAGTAAAACATGTGATCCAAAGGACACAGATAAAAGCTACTAGAGAAGGAGGAAAAATGTTAGCAGACAAAGACAGTGCTAAAGAAGTAAAATGGAAGTCAAGAGAGAGTCTTCAACAAAGTGGAGGAACAGAAGGAGCCCAAACCCATAGCGCAAAGCAATGTTTGCGAATGGAAAACAGCTCCTTTGAGCAGTAATAGTTACTCTCGAGTTGTAGCCTCTATTCCTCCTCAGTTCATCTTTAAGCCCTTCCAACCTATAGTGGAGCTAGTGTATGGACAAAAACAAGAGATTTATAATGAACAGAGCAGCTGAGATTTGCAGATCAAATCTTCCAATATAAAAAACGTGCTGACAAAGTTTTGCTCTTACAGTGTCCAAATGGCAATGGTAACAAGACAGCTGGCTTCACACGCAGCCTCTTACAGGTCATTTTTTTTTTAATTCTGTGCACACAGAGGACTTTACATTTACTTTTTGATTTCTTATACACAACCTACAGTTTCCATGTTATCACTCACCTGATGGGCAACATACGCAGTATGAGCAATAATTTGCTTCCCACAAATTTTAAAAGCAGCTGTGGAAGAGGAATCCATGATAATAAAATAAAAGGCTTGATCAGCTAGACTTGATCGTTCCCCAACCTATGCTCACAGCTGCAGAATACGAACCATGTTTTAACATAACTGGCATCAAAATTAGTTATTACATAATAATTCCTCTTTGTTTAATATGAATTGTACATTGGTATCCTAAATGTTATTTTTAAACAAAACTGCAGTAAAATATGATTTTGAATAAAACCCACCAGTTTTCTAACATATACAGTTTTAGCAGCAATGGAGCTTTGTATAAATGGGGTCATGTGCTTTATGTGCCTTTTATCTTATTAATTATTTGTATGTTTTACTACTTCGTTATTTGTGATGTTTACAAAAAATCTGTATTCTTTTCACAGCCACTGCTAAGTAAAGAATTGCATATAGTACCATGACTGACTGGGCGAGTGATTAGTAGTACTATTTACTAGAATTCTTCTCATTCACAGGTAGTTACAGAAATAAAAACCTATGTCTGTCTCTCACAGGGAAAGTACAGATTTATTGTTTGTCCATTCTACAGCCTCTCGGCTCACAACCTATCTTTGGCAGCAGACACAGTAGGCTACCAGCCAGTGCCATTTCCCTGTGTAGTTCAGAGTGTAACTAAACCCAAAGCATTCAATTTGTATTACTCTGTTTTTTAAGCAAACTGGATTTTATGTTCTTTAAGATATAATTTCATCATGCTGGAATGCAGAGCAAGGTTTCTCCCACAGGCTGAAGTGTAGTACGTAGAATGTGAAATAAAGTACTCAAAAATAAATTAAGAGAATGGTAAAATAAAGAGTCCTGCTTACAACTTCTATCTATCAATAACGACTGGTCTGAAAAATAAAATCAATTACTGTAATATATCAGATTTATTTAAATCTACATGGTATGTTTTGCTGTTAATAAAAAACAGTCCGCAAAAAATTTTTTTACATGAAAAATAGAAAAAGTCACAAAAAAAGTTCATGCTACAAGTGAAAAATTCATGTGAAAAATTAAGAAAAAAAGAAAATTAAAAAACCCTTTAACACTTTACCATGACTGTTAGGAATGGTTAGAGAAATTACTTACCTTTTTAAAGTCATAACAAGATTAGGACAGAGTACTAAGTCAGCTCTTCATTATGGGAGGTACAATTAAAAGCCATTGGTTATAATAAAACAAATTGCTACACAGAGATGAAGAGTTTCCAGCCCAATATGAAAAGCTAACTCTTATGGGAGTACATTTCAACTCAATTTTACAACATGAAGAACAATTCAGAACAATGACATCAAAACATGAGTTATCACCAACAGAAAGAGCCCATTTCTCAGGAACACGGAGCCTGCAGGAGGCTAACCCATAATCTTTGTCATTTATGGGCAAGCACATTGCTCTGCTTTTTGGAAAGCATGCAGAATGTGGAACCACCAGCAGAAACCCAAATGTACATACAGACACAGAGGGCTAAGGTACAGCAAAGGGAATGAGCTCGCCAAGCTGTAATGAAGGAAGCAGGGTATGCAAAGCACAGCAGCCGCTAATGACTCAAGAACTCTAGTCCTCCAACTGTCCCATTAACACTGGGCAGTCCTGTTTATGAAGTATTGCACCTACTACAATGTACTGTTGGTGGGGAAGTGCATAACTCACGAAACCTCTCCTTGAAACTTCAGCAGTTTTATGAAGACAATTCATTCTGTGTGATGGGGGAAAGTATGCTGCTGCTGCTGCTTTTTTCTACAGGTGATTTATTAGTCATTACATGATCTGAGTTCTGTACAACATACTCTGTGCACATGCCATTTGAATGGTCTCTCAAATACTTGCCTGTCTATCAAATACTTGATAGATTTCAAATCACACATGATCTGATTTATAAATGTAGGGGTTTGCACCATGTCTCTTGCCTAAAATACCTTTCCCTTCCCAAGAGTGCAATATACATTTAGTTGGTATCTGCAAATATACACATACAGTAAAACTAAACCATGGATAACAATATCTCACACTGGTGTCATAATACTGTAAAAATTGATTTTGTCCTTTTATCTAATCACTATACATAAGGTTAAACTAGGAGCAAATTGAAAAATGCAATGAAATATATTGGTTGCTTTCACTAAAAAAAATGGTTTAAATCTAATCTGAAGAACAGAGACAATTGCTTTCATTAAATTAATATGGAATATTAAAATGTTAAAAAAATTTCACAGGAAAAGAATATCTGGAATTGCGTACTTCAGAAA